CACACACACACACACACACACACACACACACACACACACACACACACCAACACACACACGGTAGTCCCTGCTCCCATTGGAAGAAGAATAGTGAAAAACAAAAGCCAATAAAGAACTGAAGCCCTGTTCTCATTAGACAGTTATCCCCTCCCCACCCCCTTTTCCCCGAACCTGGTTACCTCAGTCCTGTTTGACTCTGAATTTGAGTATTCTGCAAGTGGAATCCCAGTCTTTATCTTTCCTTTTCTTTTTTGGTGCTGGGAATGGAAGCTGTGCTCCTGCAGGGGCAGGAAGGGCTAGGGGTGGGCCATGTTGCTGACATACAGTGGCAGACTTACTTCACTCAGCACATCCTCAAGGCTGGGCCCTGAGAATAAAATTCCTCTGCGCTAGGGCCAAGTAATCTTCATCACACTCAAACACCACATTTGAGTTTCTGCTGCAGGACACAGTTCTGCTCACCTTTGCACATCACTGTTGGGAATATTTCACTACCTGTTCAAATCTTAATGTTTTCAATCTTTGTCTTGAGTGTTGATAGTTGAGCTCAAGGTCTCATGCTGTGCTATAAACTAAGCTCCTTCCTCTTGATATTTCCTAGGAATCTTCCTGATCCTTGCTTTCTCTTTTTATTTCTGAATACTAGACTACCTGGGACATGCCTGTACAAAAGTGGCATCCTGGGTGTTGGCTACCATTGGGGAATTTGCTTTATACTATGCATCGGCAAACCTCTTAGCTTTGTTTAGTGCTTTCAAGAGAAACTGTTTTGTTTTCTTTCTATCTTTCTCTCTCTCTTTTCTTTTTCTGTTTTGGTTTTTTGAGACAGAGTTTTTTTTGTGTGTGTGTGTGTATGTAGCTCTGGCTGTCCTGGAATTCACTCTAGACCAGCTGGCCTAAAACTCAGAAATCTACCTGCTTCCGCCTCCGGAAGGGCTGAGCCACCAGTGTCTGGCTTAACTGTTTTTTCTCTAACTGATTCTAAATTTACATTTTCTAGATGTGGCCAATTGGATAGTGCATTGAATGAGGCTACTAGTCGAGTGCGAACACTTGAAAATAAGAATAATTTGCTAGAGACAGAAGTGGTAAGTACTTGTGGGAGTGGCATAATGTTTAAAAGGTATGCACCACTTCGGTTTTGGGCTTACTGACTGGATGTGTAACTAGGAGTGCAGAAGCCTTTTTTTTTTTTTTTTTTTCCTAGACAGGGTTTCTCCATGTAGCCCTGGCTGTCCTACAACTTGCTTTGTAGACCAGGCTGCCTCGAACTCACAGAGATCCTCCTGCCTCTGCCTCCTGAGTGCTAGGATTAAAGGTGTGCACCATCAAGCCAGGCAAGTTTTATTCCTTACATGTTACCATTGAAGCAAAATTTTGGTAGCAAATGTCTGTTTTATATAATGTCTCTGCTTTAATGCCTGGCCCCTTTCTGGGTGGAATACAGCTCTTCACCAATCTAGGTCAGTGTCTAGCGACTGAGTCAGCCTAGCCCTTTGTTCTTTGTTTCAGTTGGCTCAGTCTAAGTGGTAAATTCCACCACAAAGTTAGGGATTAGTATCTTTTTTGTTAATCTTTCTTTCTGGTGTTCTGTCTATAGATGGGGTCTTGCTATGTTATAACTCAGAGGGGTCTTGGACTTGTGCGTTTAAGCAGTCTTTGCAGCTCAGCCTTTCAAATCGGTTGGATTGCAGGCACGAAGCATTTCACCCAGCCTTAATCTTACATTTGACTTCTTGTGGCCTGGCACCTGTATGGAATTCCAGAAATAACCATTGAATGAATTTTAACATGTGAGATAGATTTTTAATTTTGTGTTTTCATAGAGTATGGTTTAGAAGCTCCTATCCCCAACATATTAATTTGAGCAGTGTATTCTAGTCACAGTTTCAGAATTCCTCTGATGTTTGGGGTTATTTTTTCTTCATTAGGTGATCCACATAGTACTGTCTATATAGGCCCTCGAATATTGTATCCTTACATAGCTGTTTTTTTGCTTCCCACCTTTGCATGGAGCTGTTCCATTAGAGTGGTCCTTTCTAGATTCTGTCCCAGGACAGAACAAAGTATCAAAGTAGTTTATTTTTACTTGTATGTTTTGGTTTGTTTCTTTATTTTAATGTCATAATTTAATAGCTAATACTGAGGCACTATTTTCACTTACAACAATTTATCTCTGTCTTTATTGTGTAGAATGATTTGAGAGAACGCTTCAATGCAGCCAGCAGTGCCTCCAAGATTTTGCAGGAACGAATCGAAGAAATGAGAACAAACAATAAAGAAAAGGATAACACCATCATTCGGCTAAAATGTCGGCTGCAGGATCTGGAAGAAGCATTTGAGAATGCCTACAAGCTCTCAGATGATAAAGATGCTAGGCTGAAACAAGAAAACAAAATGTTTCAAGATGTAAGTACCCAACCCAGGAGCTCAGGACTGTGCTGTCTCAGTCTCTCTGACAAAAGCAGCCGAAGGAGAATAGGGTTGATTTTGGCTCACAGTTCCAGAGGGATAGGCCATCGTGATGGGGAAGCCATGCTGCAGGCAGGGAAGGTGTGGTGTCAGGAACAGGAGGTCACATTTCCCACACTGGAGAAGCAGAGGGTGAGCAGGAAGTTCGCCCAGGCTATATAACCTCAAGGTCTAGCCCTTGTCACTCAGGTCCTCTAGGAAGTCTCCACAGCTTTCCCAAACAATGTCAACAGCTTAGGGACCATGTGCTTAAACACTTGGTGTAAGCCTTAGACTCTGAGGTAACTGCTCTAATTCCAGATGCTCTCCTGAGGGAAGCGGTCACTGTCATCTTGCAGCAGGAAGTCAGCTGTAGAAGGTCAACTTTTGAGCTGTCATAACATCTGTGTCTGGCAGGATGAAATGATAGAAGCCAGGTTTAGAGCAGTGCTCTTTTTGAGAGAGGATCTTGCCGTGTAGCCCTGCCCTTGAACTCGTGATTCTGCTGCCTCAGTCTCTTGAGTGCTATAGTTACAGCACTCCTAGGCCTGGCTACTCGTTATTGTTGTTTTTGTGTGTTGCTGGTTCCCTCCTACTCCATTCCACTTCACAGATAGAGTCTCAGGACCTTAATGGTGTCATTTTTGTGTGTTCGTGTGCATGCACATTTGTGTGTATGTGTGTTTGCACTGTCTGTGGTGTGAGCTGCATCATGGTCCTTTAGAGCCAGTTTGGGGTGTTTTTTTTTTTTTTTTGTTTTTTTGAGTTGTTGGTTTCCATTCAACCCCTGAGACAGGGATTTTCTGTGTAGACCTGGTTATCATGAAACTGTAGATCCATCTACCCCTGCCTCCCAAGTGCTGGGATTAAAGGTGTGTACCTCTACCACCTGGATCAGTTTTTTTTACACTTTATCATGTGTGTATGTTTGGTATGTGTATGTGAGTTTGAGCACGTGTGTGTGGAGGTCAGAGGACAACCAAGAGTTGGTTCTTTTACTGTGACTTCCAAGGATTGAGTTCAAGCTTGCATATCAAAAGCTTCTATCTACCCACTGAGCTGTCTGCACAGCCCAGGTTTGACTTTTTTTTTTTTTTTTTTTTTAAGATTTATCTTTATTTTGTGTGTATGAGTGTTTTGCCTGCATGTATGTGCACTATGTGTGTGTGTGCCTGATATAGACAGAGGCTAGAAGAGGGTGTCAGATTCCCTGGAACTGTAGTAAGATGGTTGTAAGCTGCTGAGTGGGTGCAGGGCACTGAACCAGGGTCTCTGGAAAAGCAGCCAGTGTTCTAGCCACTGAGCCATTGCTGTAGACCCCAGGTTTGATTTTTTTTAAAAATAATTTGTTTACTTTTATTTTATGTGCACTGATGTTTAGCCTGCATGTATGTCTGTGTGAGGGTGTCAGATCTTGGAGTTACAGACAGTTGTAAGCTGCCATGTGGTTGCTGGAATTGAACTCAGGACCTCTGGAAGAACTCTTAACCTCTGAGCCATCTCTCAGCCCCTTCTTTTTACATTTCACTTTATTTGTTTTTGTTTGTGTGTGAATGTGTATGTATACATGTATGCATATGCTATGGCCTCATATGTAGAGGTCAGAGGACAACTTGTGGGTCCTGGGAACCAAACTCAGGTTGTCTTGCTTTTAGGCAAGGGCTCTCACCTGCTGTCTTGCTGGCTTTCTAAGATTTTAATACCTGGATTCTTAAGTTATGGCACTTAAATGATGTGAAATCATTTTCAGATCTTGGTAGCTGTGGGCCATGCTTCTTTTGGTTTTAGACTTTACTGTCATGGAATTACATAGATGTGGTTACTCGAGTGAATGGAAGCTGGGCTGATGCTGAGATCTCCAACTGCCCGTGGGAAGTAATTCACAGGCTTCAGTTGCTCTGATCAGTTTTATCATGGCTTGTGACTTCTGCTGTCCAGCACTGCTGCTGTGGGCAGCTGGGATTTGTCATCTGTTTTGTTCCTTCCTCTGGAAACTTTGGGGTCCTGCCCCTTCTGAAATGATGCAGTTTGGTTTTGTGTTATGTTGAGGGGACTTTTTTCTCTGGGAGTTTTCTTATTAGACAGATGTTGGATCTCAGATTGATTCTTATTTTTTAGATTTATTTATTTATTATTTATCAGTATTCTGCCTGCATGTATGCCTACACACCAGAAGAGGGCACCAGATCTCATTATAGATGGTTGTGGTTGCTGGGAACTGAACTCAGGACCTTTTGAAGAAGAGCCTGTGCTCTCAACCTCTGAGCCATCTCTCCAGCCCCCCTCAGATTGATTATCTAACTTTTAAACCCTCATTTTATTTTATTTTGTTTTTTGTTTGGTTGTTTTTAAAAGAGTCTCTACTATATAGCCCTGGCTGCCCTAGAACTCACTGTATAGACTGCCCTTAAACCTACAGACATCTGCTTGCCTCTGAGTCTTGAGTGCTAGTATTAAACACATATACTATTCTGCCCAGCATTTTCAAAGATTTCTTTGTTAATTATGTGTATTAAGTGTTTTGCCTGAGTACACACTGTGCGTCATGTGGTGCAGTGCATGCAGTGCCGGCAGATGCCAGAAGAGGGCGCCAGACCTCTTGGGGCTGGAGTAGCAGCCACCACATTGGCACTGAGAATTGAACCTGGCTCCCCTGGAAGAACAACCACTGCTTTTACCTGCTGAGCTATCTCTCCAGGCCTGGGTATTTTTAAAAAGTGCTCTTAAGGCAGTGAGTCCCCTGAAATACACTGTTCCTATTCTAATGACTTTCCACCCCAGCCATGTCCATCAGTTTTTAAAATGTACTTTTATTTTCACCCCTGCCGTCTGTTCCTCTCTTTTCTTTATTATGTTTTAATGTTAGGGCCTTTTCTACATGGAAAGTTACATTAAGATTGACCTCTTCAAATTAACTAGAAAATAGCTTTGCTGGAAACAGACCTTGGGTCCTCTGGATGGGCAGCAGGTTCACCACACCGTCTCTCAGAACTCTTGGTAACTCAAGTTCCAGGAGAACCAATGCCCTCTTCTAGCCTTTTCAAATGTCTACATACGTGTGACACACACACATTTAAAAAGAAAAAAAAGAAGGTAACTTCTTTGTAGCCCTGGCAGGGTGGCTGACTGGTGGGCAGCATCCTGGGAATGGATTTGTGAATAGGGCTGAGGGTTGTAGAGCTGTCTCAGTTCCTGTAGATCTGTTCTCTTGGCACATCAGTCTTAGAGATTTCTCTGCCCGAGAGAGTACCCAGGATCCAGTTTTAGGCAAAAGAGGGTAGGAAGGCTAGAGGCAGGAGCCTTAACCTAGACCCTCTTTTTACACTGTGTTTTATGTGTGCTTTCAGTCATGCCTGGTAGCCCTGAATCGCAGGTGGTTTAGGCGGTCATCTAATGGCACAGGACATGACAGGGCCTGCAATTCCCCTGCCTTTTTCCCCCTTGCCTTTTAGACATGTTTCTATTATTTTATCAACCATTTCCATACTTTCTGCCATAGCAGTGTGTCCTGCCCTCATCTTGGGCCTTTCTGGGCCTCTCAGTGTGTGAGGTCTCACTGGCCTCAAATTTACCATCTTCCTGCAGCCTCCTAAATGCTATGATCACAGGGGTATACCACCATATGCATTTTTAAATACTACTAGACTTTTTGGCATTGTATTTTTATTTTATAAAATAAATGTAGATGGCTGGAGAGATGGCTCAGTGGTTAAGAGCACTGGCTGCTCTTCTAGAGAATCTATGTTCAATTCCCAGCACTCACATAGCAGTTCACAACTGTCTATAACTTCAGTTCCAGAGGATCCCACACCTTCACACAGACATACATGCAGGAAAAACACCAAAGCATATAAATAAAAAAACAAAAAAACGAAGAATAAATGTAGGAAAGTATAATATGAATTTCATATAATAAAAAAATTTAAAAGACATTACAAATGTTTTACTATTATGTTGAGGGTTTGTATTGCCATTGTTTTGTTTGCTTTTAAAATTGTTTCAGACTTAAAAGTCTTTCAGACATTTTATCAAGAATCGTCCCACCCCTTTCCCAGAACCCTTGCTTCTGTGTCAGCCTTTCCTTAATGATATTGGCAGTTTGAAGGATGATGTTCCTTTATTACTTGTTTAGTCCTGTGGTACAATTCTTTGTTTTCTTTGCAGCTCTTAGGAGAGTATGAATCCCTCGGAAAAGAGCATGGGCGAGTAAAGGTAAAGGGGAGAGGGTTCTGATCTGGGTTTATATAGGGCAAGGTACTGTGAAGCAGAAAGCCCAGCCCTTCTTCCCATTCTCCATCTATGGCTATTTGAAACAGTCCCTGTGTTCCCCCTTTCTGTGCTGATGTCTTTATTTTCAAGTATTTGCCCTGCTTGATTGACACATTTGTGAGATCTGTTAATTTACCAAATACTATTGGATAGCTGCTCCATTTGATATGAGTTGAGATGAACCTAGGCAGAAGAATTGAAGCACTGCATAGATTCAGATGACCATCTAATCCCTGTAAATGTAAACTTAGAATTTATCCATGTGTCTGAATTCTTAATGGAAGCTCTGCTTGGGGTTATATATCTGACTCAGTGAAGCCACACAGTAATGCTGTAAGTGTTTCTAGCCAGTTTGTTGCTTGCAGTAGAAGATTATAGATTTGCAAGCTTAGTAAGTAGGCCTATGTAGCTACGGCTAAGACTATGGGTTCATAAATAAACCACAGTGTCTGAAACATCATTGAAGGTTTTGTTGTGCCATTCTGCTAAGCCTTCAGTCACATTTGTAGTGAAAATAGACCCATCTTAATGTGGGATTGCTTTTTGTTAGGCAGACATTGGGCTGCATCTGCTAGAGTTTCTGGGATAGGCCAGTGTTTATGCTATCGCTTCCCCCTTGAGTTGCCGGGATTGGCTCCACTGGTGATGCCATCCTTGCAAGTTCCATTGTAATCAACAGCTGGCTCCTTAGCCTTACATTTGCTTTATATTACACATTTGAAAGTATGTCTGCATGCTCATCTTCAGTTATGTAAATTCCTTCTCCCCTTAGGATACATTAAACACAACTGAGAACAAATTGCTTGATGCACACACTCAGATTTCTGATTTGAAAAGGTAAGTGTCCTACTAATAAAACATGCTAATTGTCCTTTGTGTTTTTATTGAGGAAAAGAAACTCTCCTGGGGACTTTTAAAGTAATTTGAGATTTGGTTTTATCCTAACCCTGGGACATGTAAATACATTACATTTTAGCTCAGGAGATTCTTAAGTGACTAAGAATTGGTGGTTGAGCCTCAGGTGTTTGTATTTCCCTAGACATTATGTTTTTTTTGTTTTTTTGTTTTTTTTTTAGCATAATGAGAAGTCTGAATGGCAAATACTAGAAGGAATTGGAAGAAGCAACATAGTGTTCACTGAATTATTCTTGCACTCCCAAAGAAAATTAAATTCTTGCTGTTTCCAGGCATTCACTTCTTTAAATACCTGGCTTGACGACCGTTAATGATCTGGCTTGCTTACCTGGGTAACAGCAATCATCCACAATGATCCACATTGCAAATGGTTAGAAAGGTCACAGTTGGGGCTGGCGCGATGGCACAGTGGTTAAGAGCACACACCACTCTCCCAGAGCACCTGCGTTCAGGTCCCAGCACCATGTGAGGCTCATCACACCTCCTGGACCATCAGCTCCAGGGAATCCAGCTTTCTCTTTTAGCCTCCATACCTGCACCCATGAGCACATGCTTACACGTAGACATGTACATGTACACATTATTAAGTCTTTAAGAAAAGGAGTATCTAAATTGACCTCCAAGCATATCTTTATAGTTGTGTATGGATCATATTAGGCCCTGAGGTTAGAGACTCACTTCAGTCTGAAGGATTTACACAGAAAAAGACAGCAAAGCATTTCAATTTGCCACCTTCCTGACCTATTCATTTCTTACTGCACTGGAGGAAGTACCTGTCATGTTAGAGATGTTCCTTTATCTCTGTGAGCCTTCTTGCCAGCCCCCGTACACGAAATGTAAAAGAATGGAAAGGGGGCCCGTCAACACTGTGTGCAAGTCTGACAATTGGAAGTCCATCCTCAGATCCCACAAGGTGGCAGGAGAGAACTAACTCCTGAGAGTTGGCCTCTGACTTACACACGCGCGCAAAGAAGGAAGGCCAGGATAACTGGAAAGAGTTGGCTAGGGTAGTTGTCTTTTGGTGAGTAAATGGAAGGGAGCATTTATTCTGAACACGGCACAAATGAGATGCATTGCTGCCTCATCCGTGGGGTGAGAGTTGCTAGGAATATTTTAGCTTTCGCCTTTTTAAAAATCAGGATGCTTTGGGCAGAGTGCAGGAAATCTTATGAAGGAAGGGGGAGATAGGAAGACCTGGGAGGGTCTGGAGCTCTACAAGAAGAAGAGCAGAACCAAAATGTCTGGGCCTTGGGGTCTTTTCTGAGACTGGTACTCCAACCAAGGACCATTCACGGAGATAACCTAGAAACCCTGCACAGAGGTAGCCCGTGTTAGCTCAGTCTCCAAATGGGCTTCCTAGTAAGGGGAATAGGGTCTGTCTCTGACATGAACTCAGTGGCTGGCTCTTTGATCACCACCTCCCCCTGAGGGGAGAACAGTCTTACCAGGCCACAGAGGAAGACGATGAAAGACAGTCCTGATGAGCCCTGTTAGGCTAGGGTCAGAGGGAAGGGGAGGTCCTTCACTGTCAATGGACTGGGGAAGGGGCATGGGAGGAGAAGAGGGAGGGAGGGAGGGAGGACCAGATTGGGAGGGGATGAGAGTGGGGCTACAGCTAGGATATAAAATGATTAAATTGTAATAAATAAAAAATTATATTTAAAAAATCAGGATGCTATTTTTTTTTTCTTTTTAAATTTAATATCTGCCCTGCATACTTCATAGATTCTGCCTGTTCTCCATTTTTCCTTAGCTATAGTCTGAAGTGCTGCTTCGCATAGCCCAGTGTGCTTCCTGTCCTGCTTGTCTTCCCGGTTTTTGTTTTTTGTTTTCTTTGTGCTTTTCAGAGTTTAATGGTGCCTATGAGGGCAGCAAGCTATCAATGCCTTTCTGAAGAGGGACAAAAATAACATGTGGTAGGTGAGCTCGTCTTTTCAGTCATGCTGCGGTGTGTTTAATTTGTTTTACTGCTTTTGACCTAGGGTGATCTCAAAACTAGAAGCTCAGGTGAAGCAAGTAGAGCATGAGAGCATGCTGAGTCTCCGTCACAGCAGTAAAGCTGCCACGAGGCCTTCCCAGGCCAGGTGAGTGACTCCACTGGGTGTTGGTGCAGTGAGGAGTGCATTTGATGAGGCCCTCTGTTAATCAGGAAGCCAGCGGCAGAGTATCCTGATTGCCTTAGATGTGCACCAAAGTCACAGTCGCTAGATGTCGTTCGCATCCTGACAAAGAAGCAATTTGGGGGTAAGAAAAGCAGGGCCTGGTGGAGTGAGAGGATTGGACATGCGCTGTGTCCTTGATGCTTTCACCATCACTTTCCATGTGACCATAAGCATTTCTCTTACTTTTTTTTAAAGTCCTTTTTTTTTTTTTTTTCCATGTAAGCAACTTTTAAAAACCTATTTCTACTGTTTTTTATTATGTGTCTGTGTGGGTATGTGCACTTAGGTGCAGAAGCATGTGTCTAATTCTTGGAGCTGGAATTACTGGCGGCTATGAGCCTGTAAGTCACCCGACATGGGTATTAGGAGCCCGGCCTTGAACTTGGGTTCTGCGAGAGCAGTGAGCTCTGAGTCAACTCTCCAGCCCTAGGCATTTTTTAATGAGAGCTGCTTGGCTTTCCATTCCAGTATTTTTTGTGGTCTTTGTCCTTTTAATGAGGTAAATGTCTGTGTGTACAGTTGTGCCGTTGGTGCCTTTCCCACTTCAGTGTAGATGACAGTCAGGTGTGGTGGTGCATGCTTCTAATCTCAGCATTTAGAGGCAGAAGCAGCTGGATTGCTATGAGTTTAAGGCTATCCTGGTCTACATAGCAAGTTCCAGGACAGCCAGAGCTACATAGAGAGACCCTGTCTCAAAAACAAAACAAAACAATAACATACCAATGTGAACAACATGTTTTTTTCCATAAACTGGCCCACTTTGCAAGTCTGCTGACCTTTGTAGGGTCCTCCCACAACCTGAACTCCGTCGTCTAATGTGGACATTGTCCTGTGCTCTCTAGATCTTTGAAAAGAAGGTGTCATGGAGCACAACTTTAATCCCAGTACTTGGGTGGCAGAAGTAGGTGGATCTGTGGTCTACATAGTGAGTTCTAGGACAGTCAGGGCTACACAGAGAAACCTTGTCTCAAATTTAAAAAAAGTGGAGAAGAAAAAGTAAACAAAACTTTCTCAAGTGTGCAATGCAGTCTTGAATCGTTTTTATGGTTCCTGCTTTAGTCAGAAGTTGCAAAGGGATGGAGCTTCACTTTAACAGCCACCTCTCCAGTGACAGCTGCAGCGGGAGTGCAGTTTATTACCTATAAGAACAAGGACCGACAAACATTTTAAAGCTGTACCACTAAAATCCAGACATTCTATCTTTTTGTTAATGGAAAGACCTTTGAGGACGGATCTATATTAAGTTGTGGCTTTCGGTTTTAGTTCTTTCAGAAATACCTTTACTGTAATCTTTGTTTGGTTTAGGTTTTGTGTCTGAGACAGTCTCTATAGCTGTAGTTGGCTCAGTACTCACTCTGTAGCTCAGGCTGGCCTCAGGCTTCCCAAATGCTAAGATTGCAGGACTGCACTGTCCCAGCACTGTGTTAGCTGGATGACACATGTACAGAAGAAGGTTTTAACTATCAGAATTCAGGTTTTAATATGATTTTGGTGTAAGGTAATGAGTAGGTCATTATTTTTTAATGATGTTTGTCAGTTGTGATTTCTAATCTTCCTAAGCTGTAATTATCAAAATACTTTCTATATCTTTGTTGAGTAATCATAAATACAATAGAATGGATTCTTATATTTATAATAGAAAGGTAGGGGGCTTAGTGGTTTAAGAGCACTAACTGCTTCTCCAGAGGACCTAGGTTCAGTTCCCAGCACCCACGTGACAGCTCACAACTGTCTATAACTCCAGTTCCTGAGGACCTGACATCCTTATACAGACATACATGCAAAACAATGTACATGAAAAAAAAATTTAAACAAAAAAAAAAAGAAAGAAAGAAAAGAAAAGGACTGGAGAGATGACATAATTAAGGTCACTTACTACTTCAGAGAACCAGAATTCTTCTCATCCTCCATGTTGGCAGTGAACAATCGCTTTAGCGGATATGACAGCCTCTTCTGAACTCTATGGGAACTGCATTCGTGTACACAGGCCCACACTCACAAACACACGTTTACCTATAATAAAAAAAGTAAAAATAAAGAAACGTTAGGGCCTGTGATATGTCTCAGCAGGTAAAGACAATTGCCACAAAGTGTAATGAACTGAGCTTGCACCCTTGTGGTGGAAGGAGAGGATCAGCTTCTAAAAGAAACAACTCTTCTGACCCTTTGACCTTCACATGTGAACCATGACGTACATGCATACCTACCCCTACAATAAAAAAATTCAATAAATCTTAAAAAACAAAAGTTAGCCAGATGTGGTGGTATGTACACTTGCAGTTCCAGCCCTCGGAAGGTGGATATAGGAAGATCGGTGGCCATTCTTGGCTACATACGTGATTGATACCAAGCCTGGTATCAATGTGTGTTGTAAGACCCTGTCTCAGACAAACAAACCAGACAACAAAAAACACAAACCAAACAAAAGAAAGGTAAAAATTAAATTTTTGAGAACAAGCAAAAGAAGAGGCATAAGTTTGGAGGTGGGAGCCCTGTTGTGGATGGGGTGCACGGTTCGAGGGTCGTGAGGGTGCTGCCCATACGTGGTGCTGCAGGTAGGAGGCAGAGTGTCGCATGATGTGACCTTCAAAGGCTTGGCCCCAGTAAGCTTTTTCCACCGGCGAAAACCCATGCTACTAAACGTCCATAGTTTTCCCAAATAGTACCCGTATCTCAGGAACAGATGTCAAAACACATGAACCTGCAGGGAACATTGTACATTTACACCATGATTCATGGCCTGGGTAGTCACAGCAGAAGTCATGTGGGCCCTGTGTGAAGTTGTGGATCAATCACACATGGCTTTCTAAGTCATTGTCAGGCATTTAGATTTTAACTTTTAATCCATTGATAATCCTCTTGAAGATTTGATTTTATTTTAGGGTTTTTTGAGACAGTCTGTGTAGCCCTGGCTGTCCTAGAACTTGCTAAACATTCTGGTCTCAATCTGATCCTCCTGCTTCCTTATCCTGAATGCTGGGATTAAAGGTGCGTGCCAGTATGCCTGGCATAGATTTTAAAGTCTGTAGTGTGTGTGTCTGTGTGTGGTGTTCATTTGCCATGGTATACATGGAAGCTAGGGGATAATTTCCTGGAATCCTCAGAGTCGTCTTTCACGTGGGTTCTCAGGATCTAGGTCATTGTCTTTTGAGACAAGGGCCTTATCCACTGAGCCGTCTCCCTGACCCCTGAAGATTCTGGTATAATAAAATAATGATACCTGACTTTTGCATTTGTAAAAACTGTTTGCCGTGGGAAAGAAATGAAACAGGAAAGCATGGAAACAATGAGATGAATTAGAGCATTTCAGTGCTGGGAGAGCTGGGTGTGTGGTATCTGTAAGAACAACAGTTGAAGGCCAGGGGTAGCTCAGGGTACAAAGGTGTCTGCCACCACGCCTCACAATCTCGTGGTAGAAGAAGAGAACCAATTTCCAAAAGTTGTCCTCTGACTTTACATGCAACACCATTGAATGTCTGTATACACACAAAATAAATGTAATAACTTTTTTTTTTTAGCTACAAGAAAAAAGAATTTGCAAGGTTCTGGAGGTGGAATCTACAGAACATGGTTGTATCTTGGCTGGTGAAGCAAGAGAGGGACAGCTCAGCACACCTAAAGACCCCAGACTTCCTGTCACAGACATGGACTTGAAGCAGAAATCAAGTGGGCAATTGTAAATGTAGGCTTGCAGATCAAAACTTCTAGGTTGGAGTTACAACCTTGGAGCCAATTATTTCCCAGCAGTGCTTACAGCTACAGAGGAGTGACAGTAGCTGAGTGTCAGTATGAGTGGGCACAGGACAGAGTCTCAGGAACCCTGCTTCTTTATTGGGTTTGGCAAAGAAGCCTGTGCAACAGCTGCTAGAAGTGGGGAGGGAGGAGGGAACGAAGCAGCCACAGTCACTAGGTGCTGCTGAGACATTGGACAGTGAGGACTGATGAAGCCAGTTGGATCTGCAAGGTGGAGGCTGGGTTGACTCAGAAGAGTGTGGAGAGTAAGAGACGTGTTTGAAGTGTACCGAAGACAGCTACGTGTCTAGCAGCTGGAAATGCATATTTTGTGATGTGCTTACTCATGGTAGCTGTGTATAAAAAGAAAGGTTAAACAGGTTCCAGCCTTTAGGCCAAAGCCAGCCTATGCGATCACTTTTTATGATGTGTAGGACTACGGAATTTTCAGTGTTTGGGCAGGGCTGGGCCTTATGTAACTCAGTTGATAAAGCATTTGCTTTACAAGCTCAAGGGCCTGAGTGTGAGCCCCAGAACTCACATGAAAATGCTAGGTGTGGGGCTAAAGACATGGCTTAATAGTTTAGAGCACTGGTTGCTTGCTCTTTCAGAGGACCTGGCTTTGATTCCAGCACCCATATGATAGCTTATAGCCATCTTCAGTTCTAGGGTAACTGACACCCTTTTCTGGTGTCCACAGGCAACAGGCATGCTTGTGATGCACAGACGTACATGCAGGCAACACACCCAGGCACATAAAATAAAATAGAGTAAATTTAAAAAATGCCAGGTGTGATAGCGCCTCTTTTAATACTAGCACTGGGAATTAGGAAATAGGAGATCCCTGGTACTCATGATTATCAGTTTGGCCGATGAAAGACCCAGTCTCAAAGGAGAAGGACAACCTTTCTTGAGGATGGCATCTGAGGTAGTCCTCTGGCATCCATGTGAATGCACACATGCATAAGAGATACTTGGGGCTGGATGTTTAATCCCAGCACTCAGCAGGTAGAAACAGGCAGCTGTCTAAATTCAGGGCTGACCTGAACTACACAGTGAGTTCCAGGATAGCCAGGGCTAAAGGGCTAGATTGTGATGTTGTCTTAAAGAAGGAAAAAAAAAAAAAAAAAAAAAAAAAAAGCAAGTCAGTCCATTTACATAACATCTTCCTGCTTTTGTGTGACAGCAAC